AGTCCACTTGTGGCTTCACGGGAATCTGTCCCTTACGTGACTTCACAGAAGATGCTTAACCTCCCAAGGCCTCGAATTCTGCGTCCGTCACATGGAGGTGACCCGTCCTGCCCTAAATGCATGGTGGTTGGGGCAATAAAATGAAGTGATGGAGCCATGAGGACTTGCAAATGCACATAAGTTATTATACACACTACTTTTCTTCACTGCTTCTCCAAAAGAAGGCATTAGGAAGAGCCACACGGCAGTGGACCAGCCAGAGCCGCCTGGTGGTTGTGGTGCCAATCCCTAGTTTCCAGGACTGGAAATGGGGCCAACTTCAATGCCAGTCGAGTCCTGAGAATTATATCCAGCAGGAGAAAGAAGGAAGCGAGACGGATGTGACCACGTGCTAGACACGGCGACGTGCCCATGGCTGCATTAGGTGCCGGGATGGGGAGCGTTGTCTCCATTTCTGGGTGGGGAAATGAGCCAAGAAGCTGATCGTCTCTCACCATACACGGCTGACATGGGAGACAAAGCTCCTCTTTCCAGTCTCCTGTGCTGCCTCAGAATCACAGACGGTGAAAATTCCCCATGACCCTGATTCACAGGAACTCGCCGGGTGGTTGAAATGACCAACGACAGTTACCAAGGGACCCTTCTCAATGAGGCACTGAAACACTCCCACAAGTGGGTAATAAACTGGCTGTGTGACCTCAATGTGGTGAAGCCAGTCCTGATCAAAGAGCTGTGCTGACGTCACGCATTCGGCTCTGACCCCTCTTGGGGTTGGACCCCCCCCGATGGAGGACCCGGGTCTGGTCTGCAGCCCTGCTGAGTGGCGCCTTTGCTTCGCAGACAGCAGATCACCGCCTCTTCTGTTCTTCCAGGCCCAGCTGTTGCTCTTGTATCCACAGTCCTCCTTTCTGTCCCAGCTGGGCCACCTCGCCGCGTGTGGAGTGTCTCTAGTGTCCACAGACGGGTGTTGTGATTCACTGATTATCCAAATCCAGCTCAGTTGGTTGAGCTGGTCTTGGAAGTTAAATAGCTCATGTGTGCACCAGCAAAGCGCACGACAGGCCCCGAGGCCGCCGGACACCCTGTGGGATCCCACGAGTCCGTCCTGGAGAGCCTCTGAGAGCAGAGGGGCCATCTGGTGTGCCTCCTGGGAGGAAAGAGAATGCAAATCGCCACACCCAAGACTGTCTAAGGGGGTCTTAGAGCCCCAGGCACCGTCCCCCTTAGGTGGGTCCTGGAGCATGAGCCTGCCTTATAAACGGAAGTGAAATGTCCACCAACTTCCGTGGAAGTCGACTTTCTTCTTGGAAGTCAGTCTACCTGGGGAGTCACCTGGTGCACCTGTCGCTCACCTGCTCAAATCACTTCTCTTGTCCCTTTCTGTCTCTTTATTGGGGGGATTTTCAGCTTATTCCATTATCAGTCCGAAAACACTCTACTGATCAGGGTCAATGCAGAATCTCCCGTAAGTCAGGCCCTGTGGTCATGGTGGAAGCATCGCACAGACGCAGAGAGACGGCAGGGAAAATGGAACCAGCCAGGTCGGCCTGTGACTGTGTGTCCTCAGGTGATGGACTCAACCTCCCTGGTCCTCATTTTCCTCACTGGAAAATGTTGATACTACAGCCACCTGGAACGGGCTCATGAGGACTGACTGGGTGGAAACACCGTGCTGCCTCGGTCTCCCTTCAAGGGAATCTGAGGGGCTCACAGCCTTGAAACAAGTCCTCCCGTGACAAATGAGGGGGGAACGGTGTGTTCCTCTGGAATGAGGGTGATGCCCTGTGTTTAGTGGTGTGTCGTCACAAGTTGTCTCAGGTATCTTCGTGAACTCCCGGGTGCAGGGGCCAGGCCGGCCGTCTACGTGAAGTTTGCAGGTGATCACAGAAACGTTCGCAGACGTGCCCCATGTCTCCTTTGTTGGTGGCTGATCGGTACTCTTCGGGCCACAGCAAGAGCATGTGACACTCAGACGTGTTTTGTTAAATTTCGGTCCCTAAGAAAGGTAGCTCGTAAAGTGAAGTCAGCTGGAGAGTATGGCAAGTACGCAGTGTGACGTAAGGAGGGTGCCATCAAGAGTCATAACAGCCAAGGAGTAGGCTTCTCTGGTGAAGACCAGAGCTCCTCAGATGCCCTCAAATTTGTCAGAGGACGGCTTCCCAGATGGTTCTGTCTAGGGCACGTTTCTGTTTTTGCTAAGGAAACATGGTAGAAATTTGAACATCGTATCAGATGGAGGTGACCTTAGTCTTCCAGCCCTGACTAATCTCACACGGGTCATCTGGACGTTGCTAGCCCCACCACACACACCCTGGCCGTGGTGTATTTAGTGTGGACGGTGGAAAATAAAGACGCTAAGTAAAGGCACATAGAGTGTGACCCGTCACTCCAGCCCCACTTTGCTTCTTAGGTCAGACTGCTGGTCCTGATGACACTGGTGGAGCAGGTGGTTCCTGAAGACAAGTTGAGGCAGGAGAGAGAAGTCTGGAAGAATGGGGTTTCATGTGTCCCGGTAAGCGTAGATGGGGGCAGATCTGGGGCCCTGCGTCATTGAGATGTGACAGCTGTCATAGGAAGAAGACGAGCCTCATGCACCCTCCACGTTTCACACATTCAGCTCGTGCTTCAATATTTGCTGGCGCCCACCATAGATGTTGCGACGTCAGGGTGACTAGCACGCAGACCCTTGGGTCGGTACTCTGGACCGTGAGTGGGTGAATCGTGGAGACACAAAACTGAAGCTGCAAAGACAAAGCCTGATTAGGTCCAGCAGGACTGTAGCCGCCAATTGTACCAACACACACTCTGAATGAAGCCTTGTCAGCTGAGAGGTAAAACCCAGAGCAGAAACTCAGAATGCATCTCCCCTCAACCCACGCCGGGCTTTGTCACTGTGGGAGGTTTTGCCTGAGTTAAGCTGTATCTTGATCTGATAAAGGACAAGCGCAGAGGTAAAATATGCAGGAATCATTTTCAGCCTCACAATTCAGGGCTGACCTTCAGACAGACTCACGATCATCCTGAGAGTATTGTTCTCAAAATAATGAGCTACGGTCCCCGCAGAAAGCTGCAGGTGGCTTTCGCTGCATTTGTGCTCTCTGTGAAATGCACAGCTTTGTACACCCGGTGTGGGCACGCTGCCCCTTGTCCTCGTGTGCTGGGCACTGCTCTTGGCTGAGCTCTCACACTTGGGTTTCAGCAATGTAATGTGAACTCATCCTTCAAACTCACTCGCTTAAAGCTTGTCCTTTGTTTTCTGTGTGTGTGTGTGTGTGTGTGTGTTTATGCCAAAGAGAACCAGTAAGACCTGAAATTGTAGATTTGTTGTTTGGTTTATTCTTCTAACTCCGTCGTAACCCAAGTGATGTGGACCAATTTCGAGTTAATAACACTGACCACGTGACTATAGTCTCCATGGCAACTGTATTTAATTAGAACTGTGCACCTTATTGCATTATATTTCTAAACACAGGAAAACGTAGTCATCTTTGGTTTCATACTATAGTTAATGTGCTCAGCTGACTGACCAACTTTGTACTAGAGACCTCATTAGCAGGAAAACGCCACTTAAAGTGTGCAAAAAGTGCTGTTGGCCGTGCAAAAACGGGGTGCAGTTGAATTATGTTCAATAATTTGAATAAACTGCCTTGTAAACACTTAACTCAATTCAGACAGTTATTATACCTATATAAAAGTATAATATATATATATTTTAAAACTCAGTGACTGGGAGAGCCCATAAAATAAAATGCTACTACAAATTTACATGAGAAATGGTCCCAGCTTCCTCAGCATCTTCCATTGCCAAACCATCCATCCTCCTTTCTTAGCGATCTGTAAACGTACTGAAAACGGCAGATGCCCCTCTGCTGAATGCAGGATGGTGATGGCATAACTGGGTCTGATCACAGTGGACTACCGTGAATCCTTTTGCAGACCATGCCATGGCTCACTGTGTTCAACACGACTAGCAGGATGCGATCGTAGAATGTTTGCCGCAAAGCCTACTCATGAATGTTGGAAGCCTGCATATCCACCTGTAGAGTCTGAATATATCATTATATTCAGAATTATACTTATGGAATATGTTTCAAAATGATGACTTATATAACATATCATCCAAAGAGTCCTGATCTAAAGCTCCTGTCTCATGTGGAGACTGGCTGTCTGCACCCCTCACTTCTGACTCAGTGCGGGGTGGGGAATCCGTGGGCATCACAGTGCATCTGAACCACCCTGCGGGGCACGTGGAATCCAGAGCAGCCTCAGGGGAAGGCACCTGGTTTGCTGGGCAGAGCACAGGACCGAGGCCGGGGAGCTGGATGAGGAACCAGGTCCCTTCATTCCTGGCCTCTGTTGCCCTCTGGGAAGGGGACCCCCCCGAGACCTTTTACACCCACACAATGGTGCCACTCTGGGAAAGCGCGTCTGCTCTCTCTGCGTTAGACAAAATGAACAAGTGAGAGCGCTCTCCCAACAGAGGGAGACAGGATGCGTGTTTTGGGTGAAATTAACCTAAGATGAACTAACGTTAAGCATTAAAGCAGTGACTGCAGGCTTTGAGTATTGCCGAATGAGGCCTCAGATAGTATAAAGTTTCTAGAAAATAGAGGAGGTCTTCATGGGCGGCACGGGACTCCTACTGGGTTCAACCAGCTGGAAGTAGCCGGAGAAAATAACAGCGGCACGATTGTACAGAGTTCCGTTCTGACAGAGTCCAATAAATCTGAAGTTAAACCAGCAGCGAGGCTGAGACTCGCTGGACGCACTGCCTACGTCGGGACCACGCGGGGCGGTCTTCACCTGCTGTCTGCACAGAAAAGTGGTGGTTCTGAGGTTTCAGCATGAGACACCTGCTCTGAGCAGGGACGTTTGAACAAACTCGAAAGTGTCTCTTGTGTTTGAACATCTGTGCTGGCGGGTGTTGGAGATGCGCTGGGGGTGACTGCGGTGCCCCCCCAGAAACCTATTAAACAGTGACTCTGTTTCTCTCTTTGCAGAGGAAGAGGCCGGGGACCTGGTCCAGCCAGGCATCAGCTTTCCGGGGCCGACAGAGGAGGACATAGGTAGCGTACAAACACCATCGCGGCTACTGCAGAGAGTAGTGGTAACCAGACACACTCCGGGCTGGGGTGACCGTCTGCACGTCAGGAGCTGGTGAACCTTCCCACAAAAACGTTTAGAGCAAATGTTTGACTTTAGAGTGTTGCAATAAGAACTAAATAAGATGTGGTAAAAAAAATTTTTTAATGGTGATTTATGAGCATGATGGGAGCTGCAGGTAAGATCACACTCACTCCAGAACATCACGGATTAATTATTAAGGCAGCTAATTATTTTTATTAATTAAGGCAGTTATTAACATAACTGATACATGCCTACAAATGAACAAGGACCCTCTCCCCTTTCTCCTTCATGATGGCAATTTACTCTAAGTAACTATAAGGAAGAATAAGGTCTTTTATTTGCATTTTTTTCAAGCAACTCTATTACTAGACATAAAACAGCTGATTTCTCTAGGCGAGCCAAGCAAACCCTGTGGTTTGGATGCCAAGGACAATTATGTGCTTTCTTTCAAGGGAGCTCCGATTACTGTCAAATTATATTTTCCCCAGTGCTAGTTAAAATCATGCGGAAGTTTTATGTTTCCGCTGCCACGGACACAATAAAGCCGGTGCTGTATTTGGCTGTCATCGTTGACGTGGAGTCATGCTTCCAGAAAAAGGAGCAAATGCTTCTGTTAGAACTGTGAAGTGTTGAATAAATTCAACGTCAAACAGTGAGAAAATAAACCCTCCCACAGACTCTGGGACGGGGTTATTCGCCAGCCTTGACGATTTCCGGCTCCCTGTCTCGGGTCACTCATGGCCACATGCTGTCACAACCCTCAGGGCTGTGAAATGGATCCTAAGTTCGACTTATATTTAAATTTGAGTTTTTCTTAATTTATTTCAGATCTTCAGCCAATGGATCTGTTGCCCGTTTGACTGGCTTAAAAAATCATGTTGAAAATTGAGAAAGTCCATTTGTGTAAAGCTCTGGTTTCTTTTAAAGAAGATTAGAGGCAAAAAAAGTTTACTTTTCAATTTCTAAAAGAATGACAGTGTATTATCCACTGTGGTCAAGTTCGAAATTTATTTCTAACCTGACATTCTAAACAAGGCTCTCTTCACTTGAAAATATGCCAATAAAATTATTTTTACTTGTTAGAAAGGAGTACTGGCTATCTCCTTTTGAATGAGTTTTTTTGAAACAAGTTAATTATTTTTGTCTCACTGTGCAAAGCTGTCTGTCACTACCAATTTCCCCCCGTAGGCAGGTCTAAAGAGGCTTCCACTGGATGTATGGCTCACCTCACTTTTCTTTCGTTGAGGCTTCAAAAGTGGCTCACCTGTGTTTTGCCCTGCGTCTGAAAAATTTTTACTCTCTTGAGTGGGTCTGTAGTGCCCATTGTTTTCTGTGACAGTCTTAGAATGAGGGGGACATACCAAAATAAGTGAGGAATGTGCATCTTTAAGCCACGTTTTTGTGGCAGGCAAGAATTTGGGGCTTATGCTTTCACCTTCTAGAAGGATGGGGGGGAGTGGAGGCCAGCTGGTGCCGGTCCACCTCCGGGAGAGGCCTTTGTCAGTCAGCATGCGAACCCTGGGGTTGACTCACTCGGGGGGATGCAGGGAGGAGCGTGGGGCACGAAGCTAAGATGCGGTCACAGGTTCTGCCATGTTCTTACCGCTGAGTCCCAGACTAGGACCTTAAATTTTTCCCTTAGCCACATAGACTGAGCACAGAGGGATGGAGACAGGAACGAGGGAGTCACAACGTCTCCTGGGTGGCGTTGTGCTGGCTAGATGGCACAGGGGGAAGTCTTTTTTTTTATTGTGGTAAAAGATGCATAACATAAAATTTACCATTTTGACCATTTTTTAAGTGTACATGCAGTGGCATGAAATACATTGACATTCTTGTGCAACCACCACCACCATCCATCTCCAGATCTCTTTCATCTTCCCAAACCGAACCTCTGTTCCCACTAAACACATCTCCCCATTTCCCCACCCCCAACCCCACCCTGGTGACCACCAACCCTCTCGGCTTCTGTGAGTTTGGCTTTCTTAGGTCTCTAAGGTGAGTGAGATGGTGCCATCCTTGTCCCTCTGTGTCTGGCTTATTTCACTTGGGACGACGTCCTCAAGGTTCAGCCATGTTGCAGCACATGTCAGAATCGGCTCCTTTTTGAGGCTGGACACTGTCCTGTTGTATGGATGGACCACGTTTGGTTTATCTGTTCCTCTGTTGATGGACACCTGGGTTGCTTCCACCTCTTAGCTACTGTGAATCTTGCTGCTGGAAATATGGGTGTGCAAATCTCTCTCCAGGACCTTGCTTTTAATTCTTTGGGGTATTAGAAGTACAATTTCTGGACCATATGGTAATTCTATTTTTAACTTTTTTTTGAGGAACCGCATACTGTTTAGGGATAGAAAGGATTCAGGGAGCTGTTTCCACAGTCCCATCCGGCCATGCGGTGGTAGTTGGTGATTGTAAGAATGAAAAGAAACAGTCAGATTTTAGCAATTTGGAAAGAAAGAAACGAGAGGATGTGGTGACTGTTGGCTGTGAGGCGTTCTCGACTGCCTTGCCCAGCTTTCCTGCTGGGGGTGGGGGTGAGTGGGTGGGGGTGCATCACAGTGGGGGCACTCGACATTAGGCCTCTGATGGTGCAGGACAGACTGACACAGAAACTGCAGAGACCCAGTGACCACCCCTCATCCGTCAGTGTCACTCACGGAGCATTTAGGCTTACTGAGCCTGGTCCCCACGCCGTGTCTGTGCCGTTCCCCTGAAGTGGGGCACGGAAATCAATCATCTTCGAAGTCCCCTGTGTGATTCTAATGTGCCCCCGGGGTGGAGGGCACGGATGTAAAGCGTAGGAAAGGATAATTAATGGAAAGGGAAAAAAAACAAAGGAGGGGGAGAGTGAGGAGAAAAAGTCTGCCTTCTATTCCCAGGTTATTATAATAACCAGCCTGGAACGAATGTCATAATTTTAGACATTTATTTTTCCAAATTGAGTTTTCCAACATCCTCACCTCCAAATTGAAGGGGTTAAACTACATGGATTTTTAAAGTCTCTTCCGCGTTCCAGATTCGTGGACCTATAATTCTACTGCACAAATTAAAATTAAAAACACTTTATAATGATGTAATGCTGTTATAGTGGACTGAGTAGTTACCATTTCCAAAATACCGTGGGACATTTCACAGCATGGTGTAGGTTAAAGTCGTAAAATGATGAGGTAACATTTGCTTCTGGTCTCATTCAAAATACCAATCTTTTTTTTTTTCCAACTGGCTTCAGTTTCTAAAAGCTGTGAGGAAAGGTGAGTGACATTGACTGAAAGACCTCAAATTTTCTGTAGTGACAGATAAATGCATAAAGGCATCTTTTTAGAAAAAGAACATCGCACCTCATATCCACACCATTTGCCCATCATGTTTTAAGGGCGCCTGCATTCTCTGCGCTCGTGTCATGTAATGTATAAGAAGTAATTTTACCATGAGGAAATGGCCGTGGACTATAGCAAGATAAGGAAGGTTTCTATAAAGTTAATCTAAAGTCAGTGATAAAAGTACATTAATGTAACACATTCAAAATGACCACAATGGAAGAGATAAACCCACTTTTTCCAGAAGAAACGTTTAGAGGGAAGACCTTCAGACATACTAAAATTAAATTGTTCTACCAGTAATTTTGTGACATTGGCTCATTGTAGAAGATGTTATTTCTGAGGACGGCTTTTCTTTAATCTCTTGAATGTTATATTTAAAGCAGTTGTAAAGAACTGGTGATCTATAAGCATTTATGAGGACTTTCATATTGAACCAAATTTTGAAATGATGTCAATTGAAAAATGAAATGAAAAAAAAGCAGATTAAATGAGCAATCAAAGAATATTAGGCACGTATTATATGACACATGACGCTGAGAAAATGCATGCACATGCAATTTTAAAAATGCTTGAATATTAAAATAGTACCTACCAATCCTTAGAGCCGTCTGTGGGACAGGCACATACGTTATGAACATATGTTTGTGTAGTAGGATGTTACTGCATCGTTTTAAGGTCTGTACACCATTTACCTGCATGCATGTCTCCTAGTAATTATGTTATTTAAAAAGAACTCCCCTTTGTGGAATTTATTTTTTGTGTCCTTTCATAAACACCCCTGGCCATCTTGTAGACGTGGAACTTTATGGGCATCCACACTTATTTCGTTCAGGGGAATTTCTGGAAGTTTCTAGAAATAGTGGCAACAGTGCTGTGCTGTTTCTGTCTAGACGCAACAATGTCTTCATTTGCTGCATCCTCGGCAGCCCGGAGCCCTTCCCTCCATTGCTCCATTTCTCCCCACCTTCCTGTTCTCCTGCGCTCTCCCAATCCCCCTTCACCTCAAAGTCCCCTCAGGACATCCACACGCTCTCTTACCCCACTGCCCGTGGGAATTCAGACACCACAGGGGAGAGCGTGTGACATCCACGAAGTTGTCATCCCGTGCTGCAGAAATGGGGGAGGGTCTGGAGAAGAGGCAAGGTCAGACGTCAATCAAGAGAGGACTCCAAAAGATACATTTTATTGGAGAATTTCATGTCAAAACTTTATTTCTATACAAGCAAACTAAATTCAGTTTTAAAGTGCTTAATATTTATATTTGTGGAAATTAGGATATTGGGATGTTTCATCTAAATTTCTGGAATGCATTCTCTAGCTTTTCTCCTAAATATCAATTTTTGACTTGCGCAGTTTCCTAGCCTGGTCACTGCCAGATGATTTATAGAACTTTTTCCCGGATTGATTCCCTTCCTCAAAACAATAAATCTTATAAATTCACTCCTGCCTCCTTGCGTGCGTGGCTGCTGCAGCACCGTAGGCAGAGCGGTTTATTAACAACAGACATTGATTTCCCATGGTTCTGGAGGCTGGACGTCCACGACCAAGCTGGGCGGATGTGCTGTCTGGTGAGGAGCCTCATAGCCAGCATCTCGCTGTGTCCTCGTGGTGGAAGG